CAATCAAGGAAAAAATATATGACTCTTTTTAAAAAATAACATTCACTTTCACTTTTTGACCACATTATTTAATTTTTTTTTACTTTATTTGTTTTTTTTTTCTTGGTTAAAGTTGCTGTATGTTTACGCTGTATCAATAAGCAACTATATATTGCTAAAGCTGTATTGAGAAGAGGTTATTTAGATGTTAAGGGGAGGAGACTCGGTAGAGTATGGGCTGCGCAATGATCACACGCAAACACTTAACGGCTAAAAGCTGGTTGCCTTTTGCATATATTTTGTTGTCCACAATAATATCAATGGCAAAAAAAAAAAACTGATCTTTATGCAAGCGATAACGTGATTTATATTTAAGTCAATTTTAATAGCGGCCTGATAATATTTAAAATAGAAACAAAAATTCCGCAAAAAAAAAAGAACCTCTTCCGGATTGATTTTTTTTTTTTTTGCACTTCTCTTAACCAGCTTTTTTGTTTTCGATTAAGTTTATAATTTAATAAGTTCACTATTTTCAGTATGCGTCGACAACCGTCAGATGAACAACCAGGTAACATAACGTCAACAAATCGAAGTGATGCAAAATTCTTCAAAAAATCTGCAAGTATGGAAGCGCGAACCACGCATCTTTCGCCTAGCAATGACTCGCTAAAATCTGCAATACCGGTCCGGGCTACACCGGCCGCAACCACCGTTACACAGATTACCATTCAACCAACGGATAAATCAAATTTGGATTTTAATTCAAATCAAAAAAACAAGTCGAGCTTTGTTGTTACCACCGCTACTACCACTACTAGTACCTCTGTTACACCAAACAATTGTCGGTTTAAGAAAGCTAAAATTGTTGTACCAAAAAGTGGGTCAGCAGAACTTACACCCCCCAGCAAAAAAGATGGTAAAATGTTGAATCTTCCCAGCGCAAAATCTGGACATGAAGAAACGCCGAGAAGTTCTAAATCACGACTTGAACATCTGTTTGACAAAGATACTTCAGCCGAGAAAGCTCCACCAACTTCTGGTCGATCAACGCAATCATCGGGATCGACGTTAAGCTTGAAGTTTAGGATTAAAAAAAGTTCAGACAAGGAACGTCTGCATAATAATGCCAAAACCGAAAGTAGTGGCGGTTGTAAACAGACATTTCTGCCACATTCTGTACAGGGCTTATTAACACCGTCTCGAGTAACGTCCAGAGTTACAGCAACATTAATGGGAAAAAGTTCACAAAAATTTGTTAACAAATCTTCGCAGAATAAAAACAAAAACAAGGAAGAACTGCTTAAAAAAGCAGTTAAAAATCAAAAAAGTAATTCTGCTTACTCTCCTTTTATCTTTTTTTAGATTTTGCTGTTTTTACTGCTAGTTGTTTGGTATTCCGTCTTTTTTCTTCTCTTCTGTTTTGCACCAGTTCCAGTGAAACTTTTTCGTTTTTTTTCCCTCTGTTGATTAACTCAAATTTTGTTGCTGTGACTTTTTTGGTTGGCTTTTAAGATATTCTTCAATTAAACATTTATGTTCAGAAAAAAATTAGCTTTTTTTTTGTTTTGGCATAATATCGTTAACAGTTCAATTTATTATTAGGTAAACACTCAACACATCCTCCGCAACCTCCCAAAAAGCCAGAGCGATCATTTATTCCATTGGCTTCTTCGATAATACGGGACAACTATGATTCTTGTTCAAAGCTGGAGAAAGAAGAAACCAAGGTTAGTTGCTATTGATTCATTTTACATTTAGCTTATTTTATGATCAACAGTTGAATTTACTTGTAAAAAGTATTGAGAACTAAGTTGGTATAAAATCAAAGATTTTTAATCTGTTTTTAATATCGTTAACTTTTCTTAACGAAGCTTCTTTTTCACTGTATCTATTGTACTTTTGCAGAAGTACACCTCAACATTACATTGTTTTTGACGTCTAAAATATCAGCTACCCAAAATACAACAAAAGAAAGTATTTTTTTAAAAGAAGAAGACTGTCTTCTGTAATCACTGTAACAGTTTTGGTCTTTTTTCTTTACAACAAACCAGGCAGCTGGTCTTGAATTGTTTAGTTGAGATATTGCACCCTGAATTTTATAACTCCTGTGCACTATCCTTTTTTAATTTCAATCAAAATTTCATTATATATGCAAAATAAATATCAAACTTTCGACAATTCATACCGGTAAGCTGAAACGTACAGATGAAATATCTAGTATATTATTAATGAAATAATAAATTACTGGATTGTTATAGGCACCGCTTGCTGAATCTGAATCAACATGTATTGAAAATTCGCCTGCAGTTGAAATACCGCCGTTAAACTTTGACCGGCTGGAATGTAACCAAAATGGCGGAGCTTACGGATACGATAAAAAACTGATAGCTGCACCAGTAGCAACAACAACAGCGACAACGGTCAAATGCGATATGAATCATTCAGATTCGTTGCACGAACCGGTGGAATACTTAACTGCTACCGCGCTTGAAGACCCATCAGCGTACATCGATGAACAGTCAGCAATAGGATCAACGTGTTCGGTAAACGAACTGAGTCAGGTATTTGACCAGAAGGATTTGTCGAACAGTAGTTCCGCTGATGATGTCAGAGTTCTACCAAATGAAAACACCTATACATTTAATCAGATGATGCCAGAAGCGATACTGTCACATCAGGATCATCAACAAGCACAAGGAGGTGTCTGCTCTGTTCTTTTATTTTCTGTTTTTTTTT